CGCTGACGCAACAACGTGTTTCGACGATACGTCGTCACTCTCAGGAGTAACTTTCAAGCATAAGAGGACAATTTTATAAATTCGTAACTGGTCATGTGACATTACGTTCTCCAGTACTTACATAACTTGCACTATTAACTGTATTTATTTTATCTCCCCCCCAAAAAAAACTATGAGTATAAAACTGTCACGCCATATATTAACATAAATACCTTCATCTCTGTTTAACACTACTTCTCTTTTTTCTTAATTTTATTATTTATAAAGATACAGGACGTGGTTAGCACTCAAACGGATAGGTTAGGCTAGAATTATCATTTTATCTAATAACATTTTGTGTTGTGTCATTTTATCACGTTCTTCTGTAGTTTGAACTTTTAAGTTCCTTTTCGTTTGACCAACATAAATACTAGCATATGCATATTCTATTGTTATGACACCTCAAAGTCAGGTGACGCTGGTGGCGTGCACGAGGAGTTTCTCGAATTATCGGGAAAGTCCGCGAGTGCTGGAGATGCCTCTTCGTTAATATATAACCTGGCAAGAAAACCAGCGGAGATGTTACTTTGAGTTCTGTGTAATTTATTATTCTGTTAGTTTCGAGCTAATGAGCCGTAAAGTGTGAGTTTTGCACTCGTCGAGAGCGAAGATAACGAGATCGTGAATCGCTATGATTTATAGCATGTATTATAAAAGTTGTTAAGTTTAAAGTGACGAGAAACGTACTGATTGTGGAACTACTGTGTACTAAAAGTTTGTATCGAGGAAGAATAAATTGGTTTAATCAAGAAAGGACTTGTATTGCTGAAGATCCTCGGAAAGAATATCTACTAGAAATTAACAAACAAGCAAATACGTAACAAAATGGTGTCCGAAGTGGGATGGAAAAGAAAAAAAAGATGGAAACGAGAAGTGGCAAATCAAACTACAACTTAGCATATTTGATGGCAGCAATACAAGAACAGCAAAAGAAACAAGAAGAACGAGAAAATAAACAAGAAGAGAGATTACAATAGTTGTTGGAGGAAAAAGAAAAGAAAGAAGAAGAACGAGAAAATAAACAAGAGACTACAGTGGTGGCAAGAAAATCAGCACCAGTGACAACTGGAACAAGAAAGGAAACAGGAAGAAAGTCTCCAACAACTACAGGAAGGTCAGCAACAGTGGCAAGAAGAACAAGGGGAGAGAGAGTACATCATCAGCATGAAGTACAAAAGGAAAGATTAGTAATTTTCAAAGT